AGGCGAAAGAGGAGGCCCCCAAAAAGGAAGAGGCAAAGGAGGAGGCCCCCAAAAAGGAAGAGGCGAAAGAGGAGGCCCCCAAAAAGGAAGAGGCACGATAAGAAATAACACTTGCACAACACTTATCTGTGAGATTCCAGCCTGTATCTTCACTGAGTGGATGACACATACAGTTTTACAGTGATGAACACACTCAATTGTACAGGTGTAAATGTATATTCCATTACAATCTGTTATTTATTCTTATGCAACAACATTAATAGAAATTAAGATACATTTTTGGAATATGACTGGTATGGGTGTGTTTGTGTGTGAGACATAAGTTGTGGTGGCTAAGATCAAGACTTCACCTTTGTGAAAGGAAATGTGTTAAATTGTTAAAGAAACACTCATTGATTAAATGGAGTTGTGATGGGATTTAATGTGATGTGGTTTGACCTGCAAATCACTGTAAATAACAAATTGATTGACAAACTTTACTGCTTTGCCTCTGTTGCCAATGTACTAACTTCTTTAATTTTAATGAAAACAATTTTCCAGTACAATAAAGTAATAACTGTTTATCTCTCTTACATTTTTGCTCAAATATTTTACTGAGATCTAAAGCAGTACATTTGATGAAAGTAAAGTCCTTATCATGTGGTGAAAGAAATATTCAAAAATGTTACTTAAAGTACAGTATCTGTAAATTGGCTGTATTTATATACATGTATTTTTATATAAAGACCACTCAAAACACTTTAAATTACAGATGACATTGACCAATCCACAGACAGCAGTTCTGCCTTTAGCAGTTTGTCTGTTACACATATTCAGAGGGAAAAAGTACTCACAACCTTTACTTAAGTAGAAGTCCAGATACTAAAAAAAAAAGACTCTGGTAAAAGTAGAAGTACTGATTCAACTCCTTTACTCATGTAAAAGTAAGAAATTACAGGCTCTGAAATGTACTTAAGTACAAAAGTAAAGTTTTCTTCAATGATACACAATGCCTCTTTTGATAACTCGGCAAAATGAAAAATGTTGTAGGCAAAAAAAAATTGGATTGTTTTGTTTACAACCTGTGTAGAGCTGGTGCAGAGAAAAGTGCCCTTTACACACACCGTCCATCGCTACTACCAGTTGGATGGTTTAGTGAGGTCCTTGGATCGGCCCTGCTGGAGTCGGTCTCGGCCCTGGCAGAGAAGATGATCAAACTTGACAATCTAGAGGAAGTAAAAGTCGTAACAAGGTTCCTGTAGGTGACCTCGGTCGACCACGGCAACACGACCAACCTCTGGATGCTTAGGGTCTCGCGCTGCCCCCTGTGCCTCTCCCGAGTCAGGGGGCAAGCAAGTGAGCGAGAGGTGCTCCGTGTGTAAAAGCGTAAAAACAAGTAACGATCCAGTTTTGAGAATGTAAGGAGTAGAAAAAACAGCTATTTTAAATGAGGCAAGTAAAAGTAAAAAGTGTATAATAAATACTTTCATTCAGACAATTCTGGTAAATACTCAGAAGGCAAGTATTAGTCTGTGAAAAGAAGGGGACAAAAGACATCTATTCATTGTGCTTCGAGTGGTCATCAAGACTAGAAAAGCACTATACAGACACTTTGAACAACACAAACCTGTTTGAAAAGTGTTATGCAAATATACAGTAGTTTCATTGATTAGGCTTTGGACAGGAGTCGGCAGCCAGTTTATTCCTGCATGAAGTAAACACTAAAGTTCAGAAGCCTTTTTTTGAGCCATCAACAGATTTGAGAATTCTGCTTTACCTGAAAGAGATGCAAAATTGAACATCTGGATCGTCTCACCATGACAGGGTTTGACTTGTCTGTGTTCAGGTTCAACAAAATTAAACATAACACAGTCCTGCAGGAAAAAAACTAGATTAACCTGCAACTGAATGAAAAGAAAAGTCAAACGAAAGGTGTGACATGCAACCGCTGTGAGTACAGCACATACCTCCGCGAAGGCCCAACAGTGCCTTTATAGTGAGTCAAGCAGCAGCAATTTTGACTCACTCACGAGTCCCTTAAAGGTCCAGTGTGTAAGATTTAGGTGAAAGGGAACTAGTGGCAGAAATATAATATAAAATCATTCTCATGATGTTTTCACTAGTTGGTTCATCTAAATTGTATGAATTGTAGTTTTCTTTACCCCAGAAAAGGCCCTTTATATTTAAATACTTTATATTTACATTGAGAGGACCCTCTCTACGGAGGCTAGCATGTTTTTCACAGTAGCCCAGACTGAACAAACTTAACACATTTTGAGTTTTTATGACAACTGAAGGCTGCAACAGGTGTTTTTCATGTTTGGAAGGAGAGGGTGAGGTAAAGGGTGTTCAGCTGCAATGTGTAATTTCAACACTAGATATCACAAAATTCTACACACTGTACCTTTAAATGTGCCTGGTTTTTTTTCATCAAAATCTATTAATTAATCTCTTGGAAAACTGGGAAAATTATGAAAAAACCCATAATCTTAAAGATTGGAAAATAAATTCCTGTATCTGCCTCTCTGATCCAGATCGGCACCAAAATCTAATGAGTTAATCCCTGACCCATAATGCATTTTAGCATGCCATCCTGTAATTCAACAACAAATAAACACACAAAGTTGAATCAATATCGTCCTTAGTGGAAGTGTGTTTACCCATACATAAAACACACACCTCATTATATTCAACAATATCGTTGCGTGAGACTGTTCTGTAAACAACAGGATTTGAGGTTTTACAGACACAAGGCTGTGTAACACTCTGTGAGCTTAATGTTATCCTGGTCACAAGTAATGATTTAGATATGCTGACAGTGAGACAAACAAAAAGTGAAAAGAGAAATGTTAAACAAGTCAAACAGTCTGTGCCTCCTGCTTTCTTTACTCCAAGTAGCTTATGTTTGCAGACGGGTTACTGTGAAGTCATCTATTAGACTGGCTGTGAAGGGAGAAAAAAAATTGTTGCACTCCTGCACCTCCCCCTATATTAGATAACTCCTCTACCTCCGCTGCTGAAAACACAGTATAGGTATTGAATAATCGTTGTTAACCTTTTCTGCCTCTCTGTGTCTTAGTGACCCTGCCTTAGGGTTTGTGTGTGTGTGTGTGTGTGTGTGTGTGTGAGAGAGAAAGAGAGAGAGACAGCAAGAGAGAGAGAGGGAGAGAGACTGACCAATCGCAACACCAAGCCTTGTTCTGTCACTACCTATAAACTTCTGTGAGTTATCCGGGTGGAGCTCCGGCTCGTCTGTGTGTCTATGATGTGGCTCATCATGAAGAACTTTATTATTTCTGCTGCATTCTGAATTTTCAATAAAATCTTTTGCTGTGTTGTTATTTTTGTTTAGTTTACCTCAGGATACATTTTAATATTATAATACTTGTACAGCAGCAAAGTTATTTTGTTGACTCCCTCTAAATATACTATAATATTTATTTCTATATATTGCCTTTATTAAAGATTTTAATGGTAGAGAGAGGTGACAGTAAATGAAGGCAGAGAGAGATTCAGGTTCATGGTCGGTGCTGAAACTCTGTCTCTCTCCTGAACCATGGAGGCTCCCATCATAATATGATTATTCAAGCCAGTGCACATACATCATATTGTTCACAACTTTACCTAATGATTAATGTGCAGGATCTGCTTTATAAAATACTGTTGTTTTTATTGTTTATTTCTTTTCTTTTATTATAATCTGTGAATAAAAGCCTTTTTGTGGTCATTTTGTTGTGTGAAGTAATCTTTACTTCCACAGAATTATCTGTGGTGCTGTCGGTCTGTTTTAATTGAGAGTGCAAGCATTTTCTATGGTCATATACATGATGAAGTTGAAATTCAAATTTTTGTCTTGTAAAATATAGAATATAGATTTTTTTGTATAATTGGAAGTTGTCAGAGCTGAACGATTACAAGCATAAGTAAAATTAAGTCCTTTCTATAAATAAATGTGCATATACAAAATCTTTTTGCCTTGTATTGCTTTATATTTACATTGTTATCTCTGGCTTTGACTCTGACTGTTCTCCATGTGCGAGACATTAAAATTTCCCCCAGGCTCACAATTAGGCAATCAGAGGACTATCATTCCGCCCCAATAGGCTCACAAGGTCAACACCACACAGGGAGAGGATACAGAGGGCGGACAGTCGGTCTGACTGATGTCACAGACGAGGACTGTTGCTCATCTGAGTGTGAGTAGATTTATGTTAAAAATAGAACATGATGTTAATAAATGAAAATGTGATGTAATCTTAATCTCTGCACGAACAACACATAAACTCTCATTCTCACACTGAGAATTTCTACACCTGTTTCTTGCTCATTAGGAACAAAAGTCCTGACTCACCCACAGTTGAAAGTGTTGTCTTCTTCATTAACCATCATATGCAAAGTGATGATGTGAAGTCGACACATGTTAGAGTCCCACGCGATGCCGGATGGATGCACAGATGGAGTGACAGTAGCATCAGCAGCAAGTTTGACAAGCAGAGGTCATCCTGAAAACCAGAGGTCATCTTGAATCTAGAGGTTCTCCTTCATATTTACACAATAATTAAAAGCTCTTTGTTCAAAAAGAAATACATAAAAGTACACAAGTTTTAGCATTACAATACTTAACTTTTAAAAGTAAAAGTACTTTTATTAGACAAACAGAATCACTTTCAATGATATTAGATTATTATCAATGACGCACACGAGCCTTTTATGATGAAGTAAACCTATAACTGTCACTGGCAGGGAGTTTAAACTGTAGTGGTGCATCCTATTTAATGTTATCATATATTTTCATATATTCAATGTCGGACCTTAATCTTGTAAGTGAGTGAAAAGTAATATACTGTATATGTCTCAGAAATATTGTGGAAATACAAATGTACCTCGTGATTTCACCTACAGTGCTAGAGTCAAGCTAACTTTTAAACACAATCAAGAGACACACAAGGGCACAACTGATTATTATCTCTTTCAGGATTGTAAGTTATGTAGAAAAACATCATTCCCAGCAGGATCCACTTGTCTACAAGAGGACATGCTTCCTGGATGAGTCTCTTGATAATGTCGTGTAAACCGTAGAATCATTTCTTCAAAGGTGGCCTCATAACCAACACCTCTTTAAACCAATCTTCCACTTTGAAAATGATGTCTTTTTTTTTATTATTTGTTCATATGTCAATGGACTGGCAGCACAGTGGTGAAAAATGCAGACGTGCTTAGAAATAGACAATGGTGCTACATGCGGGTACTCTTTAAATTTGGGTGTTGTGAGGGAAAATACAGCTGTATTCTGGATTATTAGTGACAGGGAACAAGTAGTGACTATAAGTGAAGTGACCATCATGCATTCATGTTTGCCCTCCCTACAGGCAATAAGTCATTTGACTGTGAATCTACAGTTGTGTGTGTGTGTGTGTGTGTGTGTGTGTGGTAGCTGACAGCAGGATGAACATCACATCTATTGATCAGTCTAATGTGGGGAGGAAAGGCTGCAGGCCACAGCAGCTGATCAATATCCCTCTAATTACATGGGGGCGCTGTGTGTGTGTGTGAGTGTGTTTGTGTGTATGTTACTGAAAGCGTGTGTGTGTGTTTGGGTAGGTAGTCCCCCCCAAACTCCCAGGGTTATAAATGCTGTCCCACAACGATTCACACACAGATCATAGCTTGTACACTCATGTAACAGTTATCTGCAAGTTGCTCTGATCACATTTCTTTACTTTAACCTCTTGTTAACCAACTCGACTGAGGACTCCATGAACAGAGAACTGGTGAGTATCTGCATATTCTTATTTGCGTGTGATGTGGGATTTGCTGAAAGTGTTTTGTTACACTAGTCCCTCCTCTCCTCTTCTCACTTTCCCCATCCACTGTTTCCCATGTATCTCTGAAGTGACAGAGAGGTGACCTCCCATGGCAACAGGATCTCTGGTTCCCTCCCTCTCGAGGCCTTTCCTCTCTCATGTGCTGAACAGGTTGTTCAGGTCTGTTTTTTTTCTTCATTGTATAGTCACATATGCCACATGTTCTCTGGATTCAAATGGCATTCCCTATAAAACAAACTTATTGTGCAATATTTTCAGTGTTCAGCGTGTCTGTCCCTCCCATGTTTGTTCTCACTATATCTTCTCTTTCATCCTGGTTCAGGCTTTTCAAGTTGGCTGAGGCTCTGACTGGCTGGAAGCTGTGTGATATGTTTGATATTCGGTTGTTCTTGTGCTTCCTCATGTCAACTAAATATCAGACATATTCCTACAGAGTCTGGCACTGACTTCTGATCCTTTCGCTTCGCCTCTGAATAAAGACACACGTGGTCAGATGTTCAGGTAAATGGTTTTGAAGGTGAACTTTGCAAAGGAAATATTATTATGAAATATCATTGCAGTGGTAGTAATACTTGTAGTGGTGTGGTAATTAAAAAGTAAAATATTAGCAATGATGTATTGACTATCACAGTTTTCTTTATGTATTATTTAAAAGAAATAAAAAAGAATTAAAAAATGTACCTGAATATAAAGTTAGAATTTTTTATTCTGAGGGCATTATTAACATAAGTCATTGTTCAGAACGTCACCCTAACCTTAAACCAATTAATTAAATGCATAATCCCAACCCTCAGCCTTATCTGTAAAACTCACTCTAACCAGACAAGTCAAGTCAAACCTGCTCGTAAATCCTGCTCTGCGAGTCACAGCTCAATGACAACAGGAATCCAACCTGAGAGTATCCAGTCTTACTTCACAACCTCTTTTTATTCTCTACGCAGTCGCACTTCAATTCAATTCAATTTTATTTGTATAGCGCCAAATCATAATATACATTATCTTAAGGCACTTTACATAGAAGGTCAAGACCTTAAAATCTTATTTTATATACAGAAACCCAACAGTTCCCACAATGAGCAAACACTTTGGTGACTGTGGAGAGGAGAAACTCTCTCAGGGAGAAACAACTAGCAGAACCAGACTCAATGTGGTCATCTGCCTCGATCAGTTGTGGTGAGCAGAGAAAAATGGGGAGGAGAGGAGAGATGGGTGGAGAAGAGACACTTGAGCAACATAAGGTATCAGTTCTGACTAGTTAAAATGAAAACAATAAGAGTATAAAGAAGTTATTGATTATTATTGACAGCAGCAACAATTTATATAATAATTAATACCTAATAAGTATTGTTGGGGGGGGCAGAGACTTATACTACTGTGCCGTTTTCATTCCCCACATTAACTCAACAAAACTGTTCTGCTTCCTTTTCCAATTGCACTGTATAATGAATTTACTATAATGCACAAATAAAGCCTGAAACTGTATTAACATTACTTGCACTGCTTCATTACTGTTTCCACATTCCTTATTCATCAACCTTTAAATCCATCAATGTGAGCTATAGGCTTCGGTTTCTATTTTTATCTTTTAACTGATCTTACATATAGGGAACATCCTTTTGGACTTTTTGCAAATGAAACCTCCTCTACCCCAGTCAATTAAGTCTTTAAGGAGCATTTTTTATTTAATGGTTGTGCACAAGTGGGTGCACTGGCTGGAAAATTAGTGGAACTGATGTGAGAAATAAAATGCTCACTGTGTAATAACTGTGTAGGCATCCACTGGTTGCAGCCAACAATCACAAAGTGACATTCTCACTACAACATCAGAACTATATTGTGAGCTGATTAAAGGTCACTGAAGGGTTTGGCAGGGATGGATCATGTTCCAAAGATTTACATACCAGTGAATGAACTGTTTCAGCAACAACAATGAGGGAACTGGAAAATCAAGACAGGATGCACAGAAGTTATTTAACTCGCTCTGCAGGCTGTGAAACCTTGCCGAAACAAAAAGATCAGTGCATATGTGTGTGTGTGGCTGTGTGTGTTTGTGAGCGTGGCCCAGGTTTTACCCACGTTGGAACAAGGTCAGTTTACAGAGTCACATTATAGGACTTGTCTTCCTTGTGTGAACAAAAATGCAAGTCCTCATAACGTAACAATGTAAAGACGTGATTTAAGGTTAGGTAGTAGGTAGCAAGTAGTTACTAAGGTTAAGATTAGTGTAAATCTCCTGGAAATTAATGTGAGTCATCGTGAGACATGAGAGTGTGTGTGTGCGTGTGTGTGCGTGTGTGTGTGTGTGTG